TAAATCTTTCTTTCTTTTTTATTTTTTGGTATACTCTTTCTTTCTTCCCTTCTACTCTTCTGTTAAGTGGACAGATTTTTCTAACGATTAAAGAGTAATGTTTATAACTGTAACACAATAGCGCCATCAGATATCAGATTAAGAGATGTGCAAATCAGCGGAACTGCAATTTGAATAAATCCCACCCATATACACATGTTGTTGCATTCCATCAACTGTTCAGAGTATCTACAGTTGCTGCCAAATAGATTTGTATACCTTCTTCTACACAAATTAGATATCTATGCATCTTCCCCAATATATGCCTTTTTCTAAGAAACTTTCCTTAATATATATCTTTCTATACTACTTCTACTTGCCTTATTTAAGTACAATTTCACCCTAATACACTTCTTTGACACAGGTTTTAAAAAAGAAATATGCTGGTTTTTATGTACTTCTTAAATATACAGTTTTTTCAATGACATCTGTGGAGGGGACACACACATATCAAATGGAGTAGGGCTTCGATCATGATGTCACAACCAACATTTTGCCAGTTTTGACCTCCCCTGCAGATGCTACCATCATGTATTAGATATTGAACAATATAATATTTGAATACCCACAACCAACATTTTGCCAGTTTTGACCTCCCCTGCAGATGCTACCATCATGTATTAGATATTGAACAATATAATATTTGAATATTTATTTAGAAAAAAGGCTCTATGCTATCTCTATGCTATCTCTAAAAAGATCCAATCAGCTGATAGAAAGCCATATTTTAACAGTTGAATGTTTCTGTGTGTGTACCTCTCTGTCTCTCTGTCTCTCTGTCTCTCTCTCTCTCTGTGTGTATTCTTTACCAGTTTCAAGAAAAAACACTAATGAAGAGGTTCCATTCCAGAAACTAAGTGCAGGCCTGAAAGTCTAAAAATTATCTACTGCAATGCTGGTCTTTTACCATAATAAAGATCTGATTCATTGATTGATTGATTGATTTATACTGCAATGTTTTTGTACTGACGTATACAGTAATGATGCCTGAAAGAACCTTGTGGTCTTTTATTGGGTGTAACAATCCAAACTCTGCCATGTAGCCTTCTGTTGCATTGGACCAGTCCCCATCAAATCCTTATATAATCTACCTCATAGGATTATTGTGATATTAAAAAAAAAAAACGATTCTGTATGTTAAATTTAATTCTGTAGAAGAATGGTCAGATAACTAACCTACATAAAATAAAGTCTTAATTTTTGGTAGGAACTAATCATTAAATTTTTGGACTAGGATTAGGGAGAATTCTTCAAAGCTTTAACAAGCCTCTTTTGTAAATCCAATATAGGAAAATCATCCAGGTCATTCTCTTGGTTTGTTATTTGTATATCCCTTTTCATTATCAAAATATCAGCCGTTTTCTTTTGTATGTCCAGTGTAGCAGCTTTTTCCATACCATTCTTGTAGCTGTCATTTTTAAATCCACTTTCAGCTCAGTCTCAGTCTTGTCTGGTAAAACTTGTTCCTCTTCCATAGCATCTTTTAAACCCTATGTATAGAAGCAGACACTCTTAAAATTAACTTCTGGGTCCTTTGTTCAAAAATATCCTTCAATATCTCCAATGTTAAAATATTTGCTCCATTCTGTATTAGTCAAATTAAAGTGTTCTTCTTTAATTGTAATCTTTAGTAATCTTTAAACTATAGTTAAAAATTAAGATTGCGCAAAATTTAAAATTTCTCTGTGTTAGAGAATAAAAGTATTACAAGAAAGCTGTGGAAACTCAATGAATTCTTTGGGCCAGTTGCCATATCTCTGTCCATTTATTCTGTAGGTCTTGTGGGGGAACAAAAGGAAGCCAGGTACGAGATAGGCATCTCTGTCCTCCAAGAAGGAAGATATGATATAAATCTAATATATACATATATTCATACATCTGGGTGATGAAAAACAGAAAGGCAAGAAAATTTTGAACAGGTACATATGGCAGTTATTTTCCTATAGAGTAACTACTACTAATCTTCAAACACCACAGATACAGTCAGAAGAGGAAAACATCACTTCAGAGAATGTTTTTTTCTTTTATAGAAGATCTGATCCCAAGTTTTTCTGTACAAATTAAGCACTGTTAAACATAACGAGACAAACATTTTCCCAATCCTGAAAACTAAACAGAATGGCACGATAAATCTGATATCAAGGATTCAAGCATTAAATGCCACTGATTTCCAGGAGAACCAATGAAGATTTTCTGTAACTGAAATAGAATTTATACATTCTCAATTTCAGCTGGACTCTGTTCAGCATTACTAATCTATGTTTAGTTGGGACAGAAAGGTGATAGAGAAGATTGTAAAACAAACAGATTACTTAACATTTATATAATATTTTAATCCAATGATTTCTGCAGCAATTAAAATAAATGTTGCAAATTTGACCAGTATTTTAATCATGCCCCTGTTGCAGAGGGGTGGACAGGCTGCTCACTTAAGGCTGTTTTAAGAATCCATGACAGAAAAAAAAATCAAGAGAGTTCTTGGTTTTAAGTTTTGGCAGCTTTGCTGCACTAACTAAAGCAAGTAACTAATACTAATTTAATGTTGCATTAAATATGTCTTCAGTACCAATGGTATGATAGAAATGAAAATGATTCAATGATTTGTACACTTGTATTATGATCTACACTGAGTGGATATTTAAGGTTTGGGTTTTTTTCAAACCTTTGTGTTATCATAGCTCAGAGACTGACAAAGTATGAGAATAGGAAATGCAAAATTATTTGCAGTTAATGCATTACAGTGAGGGTAGGAATTTTTTTTAAAAAGAGGCACAGTGGTTGAAGTTACCTAGAAAAGAAGGAGGAGGAGGAGGAGGAGGAGGAGGAGGAGGAGGAGGAGGAAGAGGCAGCTGCCTAGTAAAACAGAGGCTAGGCTTGGATGGAATGAAAAGAAGAAGGATGGTCAAGGGCTAAAAAGGAAAGGGTCTTTTTAAAAAAAATATTTAAAATTATCAGTAAGGGAAACAGTAATGCAGAAATAAAGAATGTGTGTCCAGGTAAAGGATGGGTGAGAAATTCACTGCAACTGAATGCTGATACAAGCAAACAATTTTGGCCCTCCCAAATATATAGGGAACTCTGAAATGCATATGTACACCAATTCCTTTTTTTCTCATAATGTTGGTCATTTACCAGTCAAAAATTATGTATAAAAATTAGTATATAAAAAAATATTTTCAAAACTCTAAAATAGGAAAAGAGTAGTAATCACCCCATGTGCAGAAAGGTAGGCATAAATATTTTGGGATTTCCAATGGGAAAATTAGAAGCACACGCTGTGTAGAAAATTGCAACATTGAGAGCTACACATGAGAAAATGCATGAGAATCATTCTGCATGTGTTTTCTGCCAAATTTGTGAAGTACGGGGTTGAAAAGCTACTAAAATGAGCATTTTGGCCAACAAACAAAACTCCCCTGGAACTCTGTTGCCCATCTTCACTGATACATTTTTGTAGCCTCTATCTCAAAGCGCTTTTCTCTTAGCAAAGTTCAGGGCCGACACCAGGACACAGCTGAGGAAAAAAACAATAAAGAAGATTGACTGCAGAGAGGTAAGGTTTTAAGTACCATCTATCCTCTTTTATTTTATTCTAAATCCTGGATCCCCACCTTCTTTTTAATGAGTGGCTGAAGCAGACCTGGTTTAAATTAGGCTGATGTCCTATCATAAGTAGTTGGATCAGATGGTGAAGGGCAATGAACAGAGAGATGGGATTTTTCCACAGTAACACTCTTTTAGAAACCCCTCCCCAGGGAAGCTTAGAAAACCAAGTCAGGTAGTTTTCTAGGCTACCTGACTTCTTCTGAAAACAAGTTAAAGCAATTTATTTCACTATCTGTTTCATTTGGAGGATTAAGCAGCTTGGTTGTTTTAAGCTGAAAGTATTTCACTTTTTTTTACTATTACATTTTAACATTGATATAAATCTGGAATCTGTATACACTTTCCCATAAATATCCTAAATACACGGTACACTGTTACGTTGTTCAATTTTTTAAGTCTGAAGGCCAGTAACTTAGATATTGTTACCTATTGCAGTATAATATACAAATTCTGTTTTAGAAATGTAAAGCTGTTAAATTGATAACTAGCACAGATCAGAGATCTATATAAATCAGAAGATGGATGGGATGTGTAAGAAATAATGACTATTTAACTGCCTCCATTGAGAATGTAACTTCAGTTAATTGTTGCTTCTTTTTGTAAGACATTTGAGTTAATTAAGATAATTTCAAATAAATGCTTAAATTGTGTCCCACACTAAAGATAGTGATGATAACTGAGTCCACATTCATATGAAAAAAACCACACCTTCTACAATTTCCTTTTCAACTTGTTAATAAAATATTTATGAAAGATATCTTCAAGGGCCACTTAAAAGATATATTTAATTTTTTTGTTAAGTGAGTTTCAAAGAAAAGAGAGTCAGTTTGGTGTAATGATTAAGGCACTGGACTAGAAACCAGGAGACCATGAGTTCTAGTCCCACTTTAGGCACAAAGCCATCTGGGTGACCCTGGGCCAGTCATTCTCTCTCAGCCCTAGGAAGTAGACAATGGCAAATCACTTCCAAAATCTTGCCAAGAAAACTGCAGGGACTAGTCCAGGCAAAGCTGACTCGAAGAAACACACACACACACACACACTGTTTCAAAGGCAACTTTTCTGATCAGACTCCTAGAGAAACCAATTTGGTGGAATGCAGTCAATGTGGTTGAGATAGTTGAAATTTCATTCAGATTATGTGTCCCCCAGGTCTTCATACAGCACTAAAATGTCTGAAATTCCACTTGTATTGTTTTGTATTTTCAAGTGCTATATGTAGTTGTGGGTCTTTTTGGATACCTGCAACCTTTCCCTTACCGCCCTCCATAAAGCTAACATGTATTCCTGTGACCATAGAAACATAAGATGTGGGGAAAATATGGACTTGTTTACTACTGTAATATCCTTTTATAATTTATTTGGATATAGTAACAGCATAATGGTTCTAAAGCCTAACATTTAAATGCATGCAATTTTAATATTCAACTTCCTAACGGTAAACAGATGTATGAGTGTCTATCTATTTCTCTCTCTGTGTACACAAGCAAACACATGCCACAGTTGTAGTGCTCTTGATGTGTGTGTGCATATTTTAAGCCATTTGCATATATGACACTGAGCATGCTGGAATATTGTCTTAATTTTATCTAGTAAATAACCAAATTTAAAATTACTCCTGATTTTTAGCATCCCATGGTATAAAACATGGCTCCCAGGCATTTCATGAATCCTCTCACCCTATGGTCCTATAACAAAAAAAAAAAGAAGGTTTTCCAAGCACATCCTTACCAAATGTAGAGAGATCCTGCCATGAGAAAGCTGGCTTTCAAATATCTAATTCTGCACTAACATAAGACATTGAGTCATGGCTATTATTGGAAGCAGAATCCTATTTCTTCCCAGCACCTTTCTGTTGGCAAGATCAGAGGCAGGGATATTATACGATAATGGGTAAACCTCCAGGAAGTTTAATGACACTTTCCTCACAAGGGGTTCGAACTCTTTTGAAGTTTATATTCATAGCAGATTCATTTCCATGTTGCCCGATTCCTTAAGGAGATCCTCCTGGCTTTTCCCTCCACTGTATTCTCCTCGCCTAAACGCCACCAGTATCAGATTCAGCGGCTGTCCTTGGGCGGAGGACTGGTGCCAGCTGACAGGGAAGTTTCCGAAAGCTCAGGAAAATCTCAGGCCGGCTTGACCGCCCTCGCGCAGGTCTCCGCGCCGCTGAAAAGCGCGCGCCGGTGGTTGGCGTTCCCCTCTCTCAAGCGGGCGCTGAAGGCGCGGAGGGCGAGAGCCGTCTCTTCCCCGCGCTGGGCGGCGCGCGCTGGGAAGAGCCGGTCTGAGACGGCTGGGCGGGCTGTAAAGCGTATCTCCATGTGGGTGACCTTCGGAGAACCCGAGGCGTTCCCGGTTGGAGGAAGACGCGGCGTGTTACCTGCGTGGGAAACTCTCTCTTTTGGGCTGCCAAAAGCTGGCAGTCACGGGCGCTAATTGCCAGCCCGGCCTGGTACTGTCCTCCTTCCTCTCGCCTGCAGGTGCGTAAGTGAGGAAGAAGCGGCTCGTGAGGTAGACCTGTAGAAGAAGGGCGGGGCGGGGGGAACGAAAGGCGAGCCTCGCAGGAGCTCGGAGGTGACCCCCACAGGCCGGGCAGGAGGAGATGAAACCCGGCAGGGAAGGAGGGGCAGAGGGCGTTCTTGGCCGGACTGCCTTCCCTCTCCCCCCCGCGTGACTTCGGTCTCCCCCTGCAGGCGGCGGGGGCAGGACCACCATCATGCTAGCAGCGAACCGGTCTGCCGCCGGCGTCGCTTCCCCTTCCAGCTGAACGGAGAGTGCCGGCACCGTAGCCGCTCAATGGGCGCGACTCGGGTTTGCCCGGGAATTCCCGGGATCGGTCCCTGGCTGCTCCTGATCGCCGGCTTTGTGCAGTCTGTGGTCGTGGCCGCCGCCTCGGAAAAAGAGCTGAGCGATCCGGCTGCCATGCCAGCCATCCGTCCCAGTCCCAGAGCAGGCACCTTGCAGGCGCCGACGGGGACCCCTTTCGAGGAGACCAGGCTTCATGTCTTTACCTTGGATTACCCGCACGTGCAAATCCCCTTCGAGATCACCCTCTGGATCCTCCTGGCTTCCTTAGCCAAGATCGGTAAGTGACGGGAAACGCAGAGGGGTTTAACCCCCTTCGGGCGGAGGACGGGGTCGGCGCGGTGACTGTAGAGCAGGTGTTTTGGGGAGGAGGGGTGCGATGCACGTAATGGGTGCCTTTTATCGATCTTCTCTACGAAATGGTCCTCCAGCACTTTCGGATTTTTAAATCTTTTCCTGAAGCCTTAACATTCCTAAGTGATAAATTGGCAACCTGTCAAACACGGCGAAAGAGATTTGGAAGAGAGCTTGGAGAGGTCAGGTATCGTTGAAAACCTAGAACAGGGCAAATCCAGGCTCTCCGTTTGCATGACAAAGATTTTCCCTGCCATTCGTTTTGCATAAGGAGCCAGGTCGGATTCCTCCTAACTCAGAGAAAGCAACACATTAGATAGATAACAATCGCGTTGAAGGATTCCTTCCTAGTAATTTCCTTGGTGTAAAATCAGCTGGCTTTTGCAGGAAAGTTTTATCTATGCTTCTCTGGAAATAGAGTAACTATAGAGAAAGACTGAGAGACAGGATATTCCTGATCCCTAAACATGTAAATGTTATAATATCTCAAATACTTTATATAGGCAGCAAACTCTCCCTTTGTATGCATTTGTGTGTGTGTGTGTGTGTCATTGTTTCAGATTAGTTCAACAATTCTAATGTTGATGTATTAAGACCAACTCCAGCTTAGATTTGTATAAATACTCCTTAATCATACTCTCTAGAAAATGTCACAACAGATAATATCACTCAGTTGACCTTTGCTTATGTCAGAAACGCTAAGCAGGTCAGACCTGCTCAGTGCTTAGATAAGAGACCACCAGGAAATGCCAGGCTGAAGACTAGGCTGGGAAATTGGGAAGACAAAATATCTTGGAAGTATGCAATGGCAAACCACTTCAGTATTGTTGCCAACAAAAGAACATGGATAAGTCTGTGCAATGGCTAGAACTGAGCTCAGCTCAAGGATGTGTGCATTCCATTATTCCACTGAAATGTGTGGGGCTTTGAAATATGAACATCTAGTTATATCTATTTTGCAATACTCTAGTTACCCTGGAAACATTTATTTGGAGATCCCTCATCTTCTCTTTGAGTATATATGTGTGTTCCTGAGAGTCCATTCAGGAAGCATCTCATTCCATGTGAAGGTTTCAGTTTATTTAGATCTGCCTTGGATGACATTTTTCATGTCACGTGCTCTTCAAAGGAGAAGAGGCTAGTGATTAAAGCTTATCCATGAAAGATGCCTTTCATCTTGTCCTGTCTATTCTTTAGAAAGTCTTCTCTAGTAATCAAGCATGTTCAAACTTGGTTACAATGTAGTTGCACGTTGAAAAAGTGTTACTTGCATTTTTATAAGTTTTGTACTGAAGAGGTGAATTTTCCAATGAATAAAATTCAATACAGCATAAAATTAATTCATCTGATTGTATGAAATGTATGGCTATAGTATTTGATTTATCACTGACAACAGTGACCTACAAGAGTGATGTGAATTGTCTCCTTGTTTTAATGCAGGCATGAGAATATTGAATTAAAATAAAATTTAGGCTCAAAATCTACTGATTTGAACAACCCTACAGTGTAAAGTTCTGTATGTGTCAGAAATCATTGAAGCTGACATCCAGAAAATTGCCTGTATCAGCTACAGCCCACATTTCTCCTCAGTTCGATGGGACCAACTTAACAAGCTACGGCACCTGACCAATTGTCTGGGCCTGGAATTTTAGCACAGTTAGGCCTGGCTAGTATTAGGACAGAAGACCTTCATAGAATCCAAGATTGTAGGCTAGACTGGAAAGTTAGAAAAAAACCTTTTACAATAGTTTTATAATAATTGTTAAGGATAATTGGATAATGTGATAATGGCAGCAATACAGTCTGTATACTTCCAAATACTGTAAATTTTCAAAGTATTTTTATGTAAAATATGCTACAAGATATTTTATTACACAAATGAAATAAACTTTTTGTGTGTACTTCAGATGAAATCCCAAAATTAGCATCTGCAATAATGGTTAAGTATCATTCTTTGTTCATTCACTGCCGATGAAAGGAAATACTTCTTAATTCTGGACATTACATTACCTATGAAATTCATTTCTATACAGTACTGTGATGGTCATCAACTCTGCTACTTTTAAAGCAGGATTAGGTCAGTGCATGGAAAATAAAGCTATCAATAACTAACAACATTAACAACAACTTATTTTATTGGCTTGGTGGCTATTGGCCAATCAATCACAAACCATAAGAATAATTTTCTAACTGTATGGTCAAAGGCAGACGACTTCCCACTGACATCTAATAGGGCACTATATAGGAACAATACTCTGGACGGGAAAGACTTTTGGTCTGATTCTATAAGGATTCTTCCTTAAAAATATTTTTTTTTTATAAATCTAACTTGTGCTGGTTAATAACTGCAATAAAGTTTTTAAATTTCATAAATCTAACCATGCCATTTTAAAACATGCTTGCTAATTTTGTTCTGAATCATCTTACAAGTCCTAAATTCAGAAGGGCATTGTTAGTCCTGCAAGGTAGTCCAGACAAGAAGCACGACCAGGAGTACTAGCTCTATATTTACGATAAGGTTGCATGAACAGAATCTTGCAAGATTGAAAGTATTTCTCCCCTCCTTTTACTGTCTGTAAAACTAGGGAGGGTTCCTTCTAGTTTTGAAACATCTGAAATGTTTCTCACGTCCTCCCTCCTTCTGTGGGCTGAGGTATCTTTTACATACTGGTTGTTCAGTCTGTAGCTCTCCCTCCTGTCTCCCAAGGTCATTCCCACATACCATTATAGGCATTAACCTTACCCATTTTAATGTCCTTGTCCTTATGACATCAGTCACAAGAAGGAAGTTCAAAAAAATTCTGAAAGTGAACAGATCATGACCAGGTGGTGCCATGTCTCCATTTACTGTTAACTTGTATTTGTATCTGGCTTAAACCCTGACTTCCTAGTTGCTCAGACTTACTTTATTCACAACAGCTACTCTCAGATAAGAACCCGTCTAGCTTTGCCCTAAATGTGGCAAAGTTTTGTTTTACGATTTGCAAATTATGACAAATTAACACCTGATACTTGTGCTTTGCAGCATATATGATGACCCTTGTTACTTTGCTACTTTTTCTGTTATATTACATGTGCTTTTAGTTTTTTACAATGGAATTAATACCTGAGTAAGTGCTTATGCTTTATAGTATGTGTCATGATCTTACAGGTACTTTACTACTTTTTTTTATATTACATGTGTTTGGTTTTTTTTTACAACAGTCTATGACTGCAATGAAGTTGATCTGATCTGAACATAGTTCACCTAAATAAAAATGAATACAGATAAGTAGGTTTCTCATCTCACCAAAAATACCACTAGAGACTAACAGAGTTTCAGGGTCAAAAGGTTTGGCACTTCAATACAGATTTTTCTTTTGCTAGTTTTAATTGCTCTTGACTATCATGACTGTTAGTTATCAGGAATAAGTGCAGTAAACACATTTCAAAAGTTAATTGTAGACATACAAATAATTCATAACATAATAAAAATGTGTCTACTTTACTACAAGTGACAAGTACGATATGATTTCTATTCATAACCCCCTAGGAAAGTTAGATGTAAAATGTTGACATTTTTCAAAAATCACTCATCAATAAAAAAGATATGGGTGGATCATTTTAGTACATATTTCAGTACACTGAAAAGTATGATGGTATGAATTTCAACTTTAGCAGTGAACTATAATAAAGAACTACGGGTTTCTGGTTCACCTTCCATTTAATTACAAGATGTGTAATTAAATGGCCTAAGTGTGGAAAATGTGGAGTAATGGGAAAAACATTAATGTTCTCTACCTGAAAGGTGCCTCTGTGCCTCTGGTGAACCATTTCAGCATAGCAAAAGTAAAATGATTTACAGAAGAGTGGGCAATTCAGCAACTAATAGAAAATAATCTGTTGATTATTGGTGATGGACTTCTAAGAATATTTACTCAGATGTAAATCAATTTCCTCTCCCAAGTCAGTGGGCTTATGAATGCAAAATATAATTCCTACAAATAATATTTTTTGTTATCATTGAGCCCTCCAAAATATTTATCAAAGTTCATACTTCCTTTGATATCATAGCTTAGCTCTGAAATGTATGAAGAAAATATTTAGCAGCCTTCTCCAACTTTAGTGTCCTTTAAATGTGTTCTTCCAGAATTCTCAGCAATGACAATGCTGGGAACTCCACAATCTGGAGGTCACCCACGTTATGCAAGATTTCTGAAGCGGCAGTGGAAACAGCAAAAATTCTATAATTTGTAGCAATTTTAGACTTTAATCAAACCTGCTGCATGTTCACTTCACATTAATACATGTTCAATATTGTAAAATTTAGTACTGTAAGCTAACACATGTAGCTGATATACATTTTCCAATCATTCAAGCAAGATATAATTCTTGTAATTCTTAAAGGAGTATTGGTGGTTACTGCTTACATCCCATATATTTATAACATTTGATCTATTTTCATCTTGATTAAAGGACTAAAGCTTGATTACTGGGGATGCCATAATTTCAGTATCAACTTCTATCTTCTTCCTTCCACTATTTGTTTTGTTTGTGAAGAATTCTGAACAATATAACAGTTTGCTCATTATTTAGTGATTGCTGAGTTGATGTATGGAGTTTAGAATTAATAACTTAGATTGGTTTTGTGTGTCCATTTTAACAACTTTCATTATGGTTAGGTAATAGCTAACCACAGCTGGTCTGAGACAGCTTTCAGAAAAGGGCAAGCAGTAGTCATCTCTCATATGCCCATAACAAGTACCATAAAGCAAGATAATGATGGAAAGCTCAACAATGCACTTTAATAATGTTGGGGGTCAGTGGAAGTCCTTATGAGTCCTTATGAGTATATAGTATACAAGCTGCCCTTCCCATACTCCACCAAGAAGCTTCAGGAGTCATTCAGTAATTCATGAATAATTTATCATCAATCATTAAAAGTCCAACTTTTAATTGAGCCTGCACTATTAGTTAGGCATGGAAGACCATATGATCTTCAGTTGCTCAGGCACATCTAGGAAACCTTTTCAAGAGTTCTTCCTTTGACTAATTTTATGTTTTGCATCCTGAACCACATCCAGTTCTTTAGCTGGGGTGGAGCAGCCTCAGACTAACTAATGGTAGTAAGATGACCTTGAAGAAGGATCCAGAAGCCATTATGACAGCAACAGGTGATGAACCATGTGTTAAGCCCATGGCGACAGGATAGTATTGGAAAAAGACTCAGACTTAAAGCATCCTTTAATTATTTGATGAAGTGGGAGACAGGCAACCATGAGATTTCCAAACTCAAACAAGGTCAGCGTACAGTGTAGGCATACATATCAGATTTTAAATTATTTGCCACGGATAATAATATGATCAATTTAGAGAAGGATTTGATGATCACATGGTGAGACAAGGTGCCCCAGATAATTTGGAAGAGTTATTCAAACATTGCACAGTAATATATTTCTGGTTGGAAGAGTTGAGGTATGGGAAAAATGCATGGGGACCATATTTTATAGCCTATTTTCAGCCATGTCCACCTCCTGATGGCCTCCTCAAAATTCAGCAGTAGAGAACGTCCGAAATTGGAGCAATCAAGAGATCTCTATTCCCAGGAAAAAAACAAAAAAGGAGAAATATTGGTTTTTGTTTTACTGCAGAGCTCCCAGACATTCAATCATATCCTGCAAAGCTAAAGTTCATGCCTCTGACTCATCTACAAAATGCCACACCTATGGATCTACAGGCCATATAGCAAGCGAGTGCCTGAATCATTCCAAGCCCATGGGTTCAGGAAACTTCACAGGCTGCCCTCCCAAGAGTTTTGAAGAAGGGGCATCAGACAGTTAAGGAGAACTCAGACAGCCAATAGCAGACAAGCTGTTACTATTTGTTTAAACTCATGCTGTAAGACACGACTCTCTATGACAGCCAATTTTATAGATGAGACTAGTGTACAAGAGTTTAATTTATCCACGCAGACACTGGAAAGATCAGTGCTCATAGGGCTGACACTAATTCATTCTTCTGATTTGAAGGCAATATAGTCATAGTCCAAACAGCCCCATAATACTGTCCGGTAACCACAAACTACTGCCTGAAATACCTGTAGCTCTTGTTCCATTCACAGATAGGACTAACATTTGGGATGTGTGTGAGATGTGGGGTGTGATTTCTGTTTTCCTTCAGATCACATTATTCTAGGTAGGTTCCCCAACCTGCCAGAGCAAAAGAAATGAGTCTCAAAGGCTATAGTGAAAAGTGAGACTCCTGTGTGCAGATGGGAACATCCTGTGGATAGAACTCTACTAAGAAGCCATACTTGCTGAAGGAGACAAACTCATCCAAGATCCCAGTCAGTGTAAGTGAATTCATGGGCATATCCATCTAGGCTTTTTGCAATAGTATGGAAGTGGTTTGCCATCGCCTTTCTCTGGGAAGCTTTTTTGACTGCCCAGTCTAGCCTGCAACTTGAGTATGTAGAGTTTTCCTTCCAAAGAGCCAACCATTCCACTCCAGAAAATGGTGACACTTGCTCATTAGCTAAATCTTATAGCACTACCCTGTCAAGGAACCTTTGGCAAAACTACAAGATTAATTAAAGTCTGATTTAATCAATGCAACTTTTATCCAAGTGGTTTTAAAGCTTTGGTATCAAGTCATGAAAAATAAAGTTACCTCATGAGATCCAAGCTCATTATTACCTAATAGGCCAACTCTTTCCTGCAGATTCTACCCGTAGAAAGTTAATAGTTTTGACTGTTTGGTTTTATTGAAACTTGTAACGAATGAAGAGTATGTGTGTTAACTGATTTTTATTTTTGGAGTTTAATGGTAAGTTTATTTAAAATGTATGAAAGGGAATGAACTAGATACAAAAATAAATAAAATTAGCATTTTAAGAATAATATCCTATTTTGTTGTTGTTGTTATAAATGTAATACCTCTTCCCTTTCTCTCTCTCCCTCCATTAATTTGAAGGTTTTCATCTCTACCACAGATTGCCCCATATAGTTCCAGAAAGCTGTCTCCTTATTGTGATTGGACTGATTTTAGGTGGAATTATATTTGGGGTACAGGAAAGGTCTCCACCGGTGATGAAGAGCGATGTTTTTTTCTTGTATCTTCTTCCTCCAATTGTCCTTGATGCTGGTTATTTTATGCCAACACGCCTCTTCTTTGAGAACTTTGGCACCATTTTTTGGTATGCTGTTGTGGGCACCCTCTGGAATTCATTTGGCATTGGCATTTCCCTCTTTGCCATTTGCCAGATTGAGGCCTTTGGTCTGAGTGACATCACTCTGCTGCAGAGTCTGCTTTTTGGCAGTTTGATTTCAGCAGTGGATCCTGTGGCTGTGCTGGCTGTCTTTGAAAATATTCATGTCAATGAGCAGCTGTACATCTTGGTTTTTGGGGAATCACTCTTGAATGATGCTGTAACTGTGGTAAGTTACATACCTTCGCATACGCGTGCACACACACACACGCACACACACACACAAAACCATTTGAACTTCTTTATGAATAGAGCCAGGGAAAAGTCAAAGCACAAATTTTATTGTGATTCAGAGAAAAAAAATCTTAGCAGAAGAGAAATTTCACAATATATGATGATGGCTTCAGCAATGGATTCTTTTTCAGTGCTAGGTACCTTTTATAATATTTTAAGGCTTTTGTTCTAGAAGGGTAAGGAATGAAGAGAAGAAGGGATTTTAAACCAAACTGTCTAGTAATCTAAGTATTCAAAATATGTGCTGTTATTATTTGTAATAGCAAATTATTACAGCCTTTCAATTACCACAACATCTGGATACTTACCTGCTTGTTCATTTCATACAACTCACCTGCATAAGCAGACTGTTTGTGGGGCAAGATCAGAAAGAGTCAAGATGGTGGATTTGTTAAACAAGGGGTTGGGTTTTGTTTGCACGGTTGCCTCTTGGCTTTTTTACGCTCTTTTCCCCCCCCCCCCCCCCCCCCCCCCCAATGCCTCAGTGCAAGTTCCAGGCAGGAGAACAGGTCTGCATTCTCTAATTAAACAGTATCCCTTTAATTGATGACTAACGTTAGGATCTGAAAAGTTTGCACTGGGGCCCAGAGAGCTTTGGTTATGCCCTGGTTTCAAGAATGGTATTGCACATACTATCATACGCATACATCTAGAAACATACATTAGCCTTGTCATTCATCATATATGCTGATTTTGTAACAAGAAAGAAATGCATTTTTAATTTTCCCGCAGGACATGGTGGTACTTATCTCAGAGGAAGTGAGACAGAAAATGGGAATATTGTATTATTTACTGAATAAAATTTCCAAGGGTGTTAGAATGCGTAAGCCTTTAAAATAAAAGCTCTATCTACCTTTGGATTATTTCCTGATATACATGTGAATGGTAATTCTATTTTGTGAAAAATACCAGAAAGTTTAAAAGATCTGAAACAATTTGTAGCTCAGTGACTCTGAGATTCATCCTTTCTCTGTTAAAATCAAATATCAATGGACCGCGATAGCAAATAAATGAATTCTGTCCTTCCTGACATCTGTCCCTGCATTTGGCAACTATCTGCATTTGGAAGGGGAGTTTGAATTCTGCTTTGCACAGGAATAGATAGTTGGTAAGATATTGGCAGAAGTTATTGATCAGTTGTTTATTCAAATGGAAGCTTATTCAAAAAGAATAAGTCATGGGAGTTGCCTTGAGAACCTTATTTGTTTAAGCCATAATAAATGACTGCATTAAATATAACAATATTTTATATTTCTACCACATTCTCAGGTCTGTCAAGTGCAGGTAAACCTTTACTGTGCACGTAAAGGTGATAATATGTCTGTTAGTAACAGCAGTACTGCCGGTATAAATAAAGATATTGCTGTGTGTTGCATCAATTTTTACACTGATGAAAGGCGTTATGCACAACTCATTGAGTGAATTGCTATTAATATGTTAAACATCCTGCTAAAGTTTTAGATAGAAAGATACTTTTTGTCATCAAATATTGTAAGTCATATATTTTGTACTCATTCTTTTTCCTCCTAAATCACAACAAAGCATATTTCACTACACTAATTATCTTAGTTAAAGAACTAAATTATTAGATATATAGAATGCAGCTCACCAAAAGGTGGTGCTAATCTTTTTTTTTTTTTTTAATCATTCTTAAGTTTTCTAGTGACATGAGGAGGAATTTTTATTCTGCTCATGCTGAAGAAGGAAAAGACAATTTAAAACTTAATAAGGATAGGCCTATGTTCCTGTAATCTGGTAAGAAATGTAAACTGCATGCTACATATAGCTATAGGGAAAATCTTATTATTATATTAAATAATATTTATTTAAATAATAATTAATAATAATTTAAATAATAAATGTATTATTATTATTTATTAGCCACCCAGCTCCAATGGATTCTTTATTTAGTTCTAAACTAAGTAGAAAACTTAGAAAACAAACTTACGGAAGAGGGATCATGCTGCACCTAGCCTTTCATTCAGGCTAGGTAATAATTTTAAATAATTTTATTATGGCCAAATCACAACTAAATTCTGCTCGTTTCACAAGCCCACAAGAATTTATTTCACTATTTTAAGCTCATCACAGAGTGCAATTCTATCAGTAACCAGATGGAGGATTAGTAAATTTCTCCATCCGAATGCTGTACCTATAATTCAGAAATAGAAAAAACCCACAGCAAGGTGTGTTCACATATTGGGAAATTATTTGAACTAAGTTTTGAATTAATTTCTGTAGCCTACTTTCAAATGAAAAAACAGTGAGGAAAAAAAAAAGATGAATACAGGAGTGCCGAAAAGTTAATGGCCATCAATACGACAATGTGGACCACAGCCCAGTTCATCACACAAATGTTATGCCATAACAACATCAGCTGGTTTTCAAGTCACCGTAAGATTCCAGTTTGCTAATCACAATGGCATACAGTATTTTCTCCTAAATTATGTATTTAAGTGCCTGCCATGTGTTTTTTTCAGCTCCAGCAGCCCCAAAAACCATCTTTAAATATTTTCATTTTCCCTTTTTTGCATCTTATATTCAGTGAAGTGAAGAGATAAAATTTGTTGGGCTGAACCACTTTAGGAAACTGGCATATTAACACATTTAAAAATTCTGTCTCACATTACAAAATAAAGTTTCTTATTCATGTACAGTTCTCATAACAAAGAAGGTTCATATTTGCCTTTCCCCTCCATTTGCATTTTAATGGAGCACTCAGTCATGCGATGTGCAATTGCAACGTGAAATGGCATTGTTCAGGAAAAGTATTACAGTTTCATTCTGCTGAATATTAACTGGGTTACTGTCTATCTTTAATGGCTGATATTTGATAGGCACAAGGAATGCCTGGGGAGTAGAACAAGGAAGTGACCAGGCTGTTTCAAATTGACATGGGAGCATACAGCTCAGATTTCCATTTCTGACTCTGCATCATAGAAGTAAAATGCACTGCCATCTCCTTTCACTATTTCCAACTATTTTTGTGTGTGTGTGTGTGTGTGTGGTTCAATACCTTTTTGCTTATAATATGGTTACTGCTTTCTCACAGGCTAATGAGACACAATTTCATGAAGCAAGGCTAATACAGTTTGCATTCCGTGCCTCTTGCCAATGCATCCAGTTTTACTGCAAGTATAGCAAACATGTTTTGCTTCTATTATCTGCTAACCACACACAATTCTTATTATGCCTGAACCAGGACAAGTTTGATAGATTGTTGACAAATTGTCGTTCTATTAAATTTTACTTGATCAATAATAGAAAACGCTGTCTGAAGTTCTAAAGTTGGATATAGCAACAAAGAGTAAATTAGAGGTAAGAATGAAGTTTCTGAAGTTTCTCAAAAGCCCTAAGCCATGAGAAACAACTTCATGTGTTATATTTGGCATTTTTACTTTGTAATTGCAAATGTTATAATTAAAATATCCTTAGAATAAAGCAAAGGATGCTGTGAATAGAGCAGGAATGCATTTGTGAGTCATGAAAGTTAATCACCTAACAGTGAAATGTTAATGCATTGTCTCTGTTATTAGAAATAAGACCAACATACATAAGAGTTTTTTCTTATCTATGTTTTTCTTTTATTGTTAGCAAATTTAATTTAGGGTAAGAATATGTCTAAACTAAAGATTACAGGTAGTCTTCGACTTACAATCACAATTGGGATTGGAATCTCCATCATTAAGTGATGTGGTTGTAAAGCAAGACCGCATCGCTTAGCGATGGCAATCCCAACACTCCCCCTTGCCATTGATAAGCAAATTTCACTGGTTGTTAGCTCAGGATCCGCTCCAATCCAAGCCATCCCAGGCTTGGTACCTCCCAGCCCCAAGCCTCAGTAAGGTAAGGGACTGCCTTCAACTCCCCCCATCTCTGCCCTTTTGGCCATCCTGCATCCTGTCTTGTGGGGTGGCAAGCAGCCCCAGAACTGCATGGCTCTGGGGCTCCTTGCCACCCTGTGGCTCAGGGGCTTCCGGTGCACCATGGCTCTGGGGCTGCAAGAAGCCCCTGAGACACAGCACAGTGTGAAGCTGCAGCTACCCCTGGAAGTCTCAGCCTCCCCAGCCCGCCCCAGCAAGTGCCAGCACACTGCAGCGCCTGGGAAGCCCCAGAAAATGCCAGCAAGCATTCATTTACCCAGTTGCCTTCTCTCCCATTTCCCCTGCACCAACCTTTCGCCTTCTGTGCCCAGCCACCATAGCCAAAGCAGAAGTGCCTCCCTGCCTTTGCTGTCTCCTTTTTGGACCCAGCTTCTCTGGCAAATGTTTCCTACATGTGGCTCCCCAGCCCGCCCCAGCAGCACAGCGCAAATAAGAATTCCAGCCAACGGGGAAGGCCAGAGGCAGTGCAGTCTGCCACCAGCCTGTTCATTCTTAACTCACAGGCTATACAAAAACAGGTGACAGGCCAAATTTGGCCCGCAGGCCATAGTTGGCTGATCCCTGCACTAGAGTACAGATATTTGTATTGTGGTGCAATGGATAATACCTTTCAAACTTTTTTGAGGAGCCAAATTATTAATTCCAGTTCTCCTTAATTTGCATTGTACGATGTAGAAAGTTCTAGAATAAATAATGCAGTTTGAAGAAAACACAGGTGTCAGGACAAGTGTCATGTTATTCCAACATCTACAGGAAGTTACTACAGAGGTTATCTATTGGCTGGCTATCAACGTGCTGGTGATACCGTTGTACATTGCCAAATTAGGCTGGATAGAGTTGCTGTTGAAGGCTTTGATGGCCTAAATGGGTCAAAATAAGCTCAGTTTCGATCCTCATACAGCAACAGGTAGAAGCTATAGCCAGAAGGACCTTTTCTCCAGCTGAAGCTGGGTGACAATTGTGGGCCTTTTGGGACTGGGAGACCCTGACAGTGACTCTCATGCTCATCATGGGATTCGATTGCTGCAGTGCCAACTGTGAAGCTACAACTATCTGCTAGCCAGTGGAAACAGTTCAGAATGATCCCAATCTACCATATTTGTATTGGTTACCTGTTTGCTCCTGGGTCCTGGTTATTATTTTTAAAGCCCTACGTGGTTCGGCTTGTAGACATTCAAGAAGACTCCCAAGACCTGCTTATTTTGAATGGCATTTTAGGTGCTCAAGGTGACTGGGCTGTCATAATTTTGACTACTGAAAAGTTATTGTATTTTCGTTTCAAACTTATTCAGTTTTTCTGTATGTTTTGTTGTAGTCTTGTAAACTGCCATGTGAAGCGGGCAGCATACAGTTTTTGCATCAGTAAAAAAGCCGATCCAGTTCTGAAAATGGATGAATTCAAATAGTTTTGTGATAGGTTTTCATTGTCACTTTGACAAGCAATTCTTTCAAAGCCCTTGTTGAGCCTGAAAATGGAGAAATGACCTAGAAAGTTGATAGGGCTGTTCCTCTATAGAGTAGAAACAAACAAGCTGTCTGGCTGAAGGAGCAATGAGAAGACAAAATGAGACAAATAAAGCAATGTTGGCAGAAAAACCTGAATGAATTTGATCAGATTTGAAGTAGAATATGGTTTAAAGTCTACTTTATGGCAGTGATGACAGCAAGGAAGCACTTATTCTTTACTACCATTATAACTGGCCTTTTGCGTACTATTGGATTCTGGGCCACAAGAAGAAAATAAAGACTTCTTGCTAGTCCAGTGTGATTAATTTGCACAATACGTTGTAGATAAAAACAGTCTTATCCCTGCCACCTGGCTGCTTTTAATGTAACTTTAGCTCCTGCTTGTTCAGTTACAATGGATATTTTTAAATGTATTCAGCCTATAGATATGGAGAGATGTTTGTCTTTGCTCCTTATGCATTATGAATACTAGGACTGTGTAAGGCTTTGGATTTCATTAAAAAAAAAAAAGTGTTGGAGCACATGGAGGCACGAACATAGCACTTCTGCTAATGCAGCTGAATCCTTTTCTCAGGATTATGTGGCAGCTGCTGAAGTCACCTTTTGGGAACTGATCCGAAGTACCTCAGTCTTAATAAATACCTCAAGTGGATGAAACCACCTGCTCTCTTTGTTTCTGACACATCATTTCCCCCTCTGACATCCTTTTCTTCTTTTTCTTCTCTCCCCACCCCCAACTCTCTCTCACACACAAGGCTCCCAGGTAAGAGACAGCTATTTCTCTTCAGAGAGTTGACTAGATTGTAAAGATTTTTTGAAATTCAGCCATACAACATTAGCTTGAGAACTACACGTTCCTCATGATGACATACAGGACTGAACAACTGAATAGGCTTATTCCATGGGGAAAAAATGAAAAGATACATGTTTTTTTAAGAGAATGCAACACAACTGAAAGGTACTGAACTTTGGCTAGATCATGCTCCACCATCGTGTGTTCCTATTCTTTCTCATTCTTTCTACTTTCTAAAATGATATAATAGTAAGTCATTTACATTTCCAGTTAAAAGAACTGTAAGATTATTTGGAAAGGATTCTAAAAAGCTAAACTTTTCCCTTCATAGGTCCTGTACAACTTGTTCAAATCTTTCTGCCAGATGCGTACAATTGAGGCCATTGACATATTTGCTGGAATTGCTAATTTTTTTGTAGTTGGCATTGGTGGAGTTTTGATTGGAATCATTCTTGGATTTGTAGCAGCTTTTACTACTCGTTTCACCCATAAAATTCGAGTGATTGAGCCACTGTTTGTCTTCTTATACAGCTACCTATCGTACATAACAGCTGAAATGTTTCACCTTTCAGGCATTATGGCGTAAGTATATACAGTATATATAAAAAAAGAACCAACAAACCTAGGCTAAGAATATCTTGAATGCATTATTAATAGTAACTTATGCTCTTCCTTTTTTAAAAACAGGATCTAATTTCCAAATTTAGACATATTAGTATTTAGCAAGTCCAGTGTCTATTATGGTAAAAAAATGGAAAGATACAATGCTCAGTTTTTTTCAGATTCATTATGATTTCTTTGGGTTTCTGTGAGGGTTGTGGTTTCAACTAATAGCCTAAGTTAATATGCTCAACCAACTTAGACAGTGAAAGTATATTACTGTAGCTGTCTTCCTGAGATCACTAGTTCTGATTACTAATCTTTATTAATGCAATCTTGGAACTATTTCAAGTCCCTTGTACCATTCAGTCTTCCACAGATGAAAATATGTGATGTCAACAAGGCTATGTCTGAACATTTTTTCCCAATTTTTGAAGGATCTTCTATATTGATCAAACAATAATAATGACAGAGGATATTACGTAAACTGAGCATGTTTGTTTTTCAAGTTATAGGCTTGTTGCAAGTAAATCATATATATCAGCTTTTTACCTTCTAGCAATTTGCAATCTAATTCTAAAAGAGTAACTGATTTTAAAAAAATGTTTCAATTCCATCATCATAGTTAGAATTATCTACAGCATATTTAGGAACAGTGCTATAGATAGTTATGATAGTTGGTATGAGAAAATGGCTAAAAGTTTAAGATATGCAAAAGTGATTTCTGTTTGAAAGCTTGTTTCTGCTCTATACTTTATAAGGTAACCTTAGTCAAATCAGTAAGCTTCAGCCTTCAATTCCCTTCCATCTTTAAATTATTTTAAAAGATTTGTTGAAAATCAATATAATATACTGTATCTCAAACATTCTAAAGTGTTGCATAAATAACAGACTGGGTATCATCAGAGGGATTAGCATATTTATATATTTAACAAAATGAATATTCCATTCTCATATAGTGTGAACATGTTGTATTTCTTGCTTTTTTAGTGCCATGTTTCAATTTTTTAAAAATCCACTTTTAATATTTTAGTAGTATAAAGCATTAGTAAATACAATGTTCTCACATTACTAATTAATTATTCCCAATATTTTAATGTGGCAAAACATGAATGAAGTAATAGGGCTTAAACTTGAAAACTAGACTTTCATTGCATAACCTGTAAAAGTGGAAATGTATTTAACTGCTCATTTTGTTAAATATAATGTACTATGTTAATTCACCTGACTTAATCTTAAGAGCCCTGCCTATTTCCTTTATTCCTATTAATAGCATTTGTGTGGTTTCCAATTTCCTTCTAATTCTGATATTAATTTCAACATTCATAAATCTGATTCATCAACTAATCCTTAAAGTGCTGCAAGATTATTTACTTTGCTTGTTGTAAAGACTATCATAGGTACTCTTATTATGGAACATTCAGATATGTGCATTATGAGCTCCTAAGGTATTAATGGTCATTCTTATAAAATCGTATTGTTTCTTCAGTGCTGTATTTGTTGAGAATAGCATGTCTTGTAATATTTATAGAAACAGGTATCTACCAATTGTTATCAAGCTAGGCCAGATTGTTTTAACTATGATTTGTTAAATAAGCTGTAGTGACTCATTCACACATAGTGCTAAGCCACTATGGTTAGGTTCCCCCTTCTAGCTAAGCCAAAACCAATTTACATTATCGCTTACCATTTAATGGTTTGAGCTATTAAATTCTTTTCTAGTACCAATATAGTATAAAATTTATGTATACATTGGTACTAGAAGGGAATGTAATAGTACATTGGATGTTAAGTTTCTTTTTTCATAAATGGAGTGATTTTGATCAAGCCAGAATGAAGTGTTTTCAATAAATTTGTATAACTCCTATATATCACATAATATAGAAGGAGAGCCAGGAAACCTAAGACTGCATTGTGAGAAAGCCAGAAGAGATGTCATGATTATATCTAGATTTTTCCATTCACTAGACAGAAACTGCCATGTTTGCACAGGCTGATTTGCAATACTGGTAGGTCTGCCCATTCTAGTTTAAAACGGCTTTAGATAAATGGAAGTGATTACCTAGGAATACTTAAATAAACTGAAATCAGTACACTGAAGGATATCTGCACGAGTCTTTCTCTGACAAGGCAGAAAAACAAAATACAGATCAAACCACTAGCAACTTCTTGGATATGTTTTCCAACCCTGTACTCACATACCTGAGAATAATAATCATTCAAGTCATTGGGACTTAAATTTATAAGTACTTGGGTTACAAAATAAATATATTCAATAAAATGAAAATAATTTATAATTTATTCCAACTTTTATAGGTGAAATCTACATTGCTGCTGTAATTACTAGCTGAACTCAGGCAACCCCAGTCATAAGAAATATCCATATAGCCTTACAACTGAACTAAAAGGGAGACTATGATTAGCTTTCTTATACTATTAGAGTTTTGGAAATTGGGTGAAAGTTCCTAGAAGTATCTAGTGTGGGGCTTCACATTGTCCTGCTGATGCAGTCATTATGTGGGGATCAGATAAATGGCCACTCTGTAGTCCTGGGCCTCATCCAGAGATGAGATGGGAACTATAAAATGAAGTTTTATAGAATTTTATGGAATTGCAGCCCCACAGTACAGTAGAACTTTCTAACTTCCTCTTTCATGCAATAACATGTTCTGGCTATCAAAAACTATAGAATGGCATGAGAACTATTGCAGAGAACTTCCTGTGGCTTCTCCACTTGGTCAGATATGCCCTGTAACACTCTGGAGACTTAGTAAATTTGAAAGATTCCTATCTAAGCTGCTTTAAATAGGTATGTAAAAATGCAACTCGTTTTTGCATCCCAGAATACATTAACAGACCACTTCCATAGCACTGGCAATCAGCAGAAGTTAAGGCTGGCTGGAAGGTGACCTCAGTTTAGTTTAGCTTACTGTACCTTATATAAAAGTACAAAACATACATGTGACCAAAATATATAACAATAGGTAGACTCATCAAAAACAGCAGTAAATCCAGTTTGTATAATCTCAGAAACATCTGTTCCAGGAAGATATTTGATAGCAACAACTTCATGGAACACATCTTAAAGTTCAAGATTAAAACAGGAGGCACTGCATACCACCCACACAGGATATCTATTTGCAGTCTTTCTGACATCATGAAATGGTATCTTTGAAAAGTGAAATCATAACCACACTGAATCTCACAATGCTGAGTAACGAAAGAGGGGACACTTAATTATAGTGCCCACCTGGCTTAGGTGGCCAACACAGCAGTATACTATGTCCCTTCAGAGCCATAAAAGCCAATAAGAATTATCACTTTCCATTTTCTACAAGCAAATAACAATTAAGTCTTTGTTAGAATAGTTGACTGCAAAGGGGCCCACACAATGCAATATGTTAATTGCAAAAAAGTCTATAAATGTTCCCAGAGATCTTGTTATATGGTGTCAAGAAATGTGTTCAGCAGTGATGAAAGGAAGAAGCTCAGTTTCAATGAACTCAGTGACATTAACTTCCATAATGATTCTGGGTGGTATGAATAATTTGCATTTTACTGAGCTTACTTCAGATGCACATTACCCAATTACGTATTTGTAAGAAAAATACAGAGAAACTGAACTAGTTTTTTCCTGCAGGATTACAGCATGTGCTATGACCATGAATAAATATGTGGAGGAGAATGTTTCCCAGAAGTCCTATACTACTATAAAATATTTCATGAAGATGCTGAGCAGCGTCAGTGAAACCCTTATCTTTATTTTCATGGGAGTATCTACAGTGGGAAAAAACCATGAATGGAACTGGGCCTTTGTTTGCTTCACTCTGCTATTTTGTTTGATTTGGCGTTCACTAGGTAAGAGCCACTTAAAGCTTTCTAGATTGCACTTCAACCTACTTTACCAGTGAAACATGATTATCTTTGATGGAACTGTATCTCTGACAAAGAAATGGTCTTTTCTCAAGATGAAAGTCATGTTCTTTACAGTGACAGAGGAAACTCTTTACAAATGACCTTCTGAGTAGACCAATCTGATCCATCAACTAAACCCAAACATTACATAAGGAAGGAAGAAGGTATATTCACACCAGAATGTGGCAGGAGATTTCCCACACATCCTATACAGTGTGAAAACACTGGCAGTACATCTCAGATTCTCACTCCAGATGTTAGGAAGCCTCTTGTTTTACAGAAATTCCTCTGGAATTATTGGCTTGGCTATTTTAAAACTGCAAAGGCATGGGATGTACTTAATTTGTCTTCTTTTTAAAATTATATTAAGTATATTTTCATTACAAAAAACATTTACAATTATAGTAAAAAAAGATTTTAGCCATTATATATACCAAGAGAAGATTATTTGTGTTTCTGTGTTGTTTTTGAGGCATTGTTACCTTAAATGTAAGCATTCAAGCATTTTATTATTATTTATTTATTTGATTTATGAGATTTATATGGCTGCCCAATTGCAAGAGCAACTCTGAGCGATTTACAGTTTGAAGAAACATGAAAATGAGGAATTAAAAATATTGTATCATATCTTTGGAATATTAAAAAGCAGCAGGATGATGGAATAACAGAAGTTACTGTGGCCAGCCAATGCATATCTCATCCAAGGGTTTTATATATGGGTTCATCCTACAATCTGGCTGAATGCTTGGGGTACAGCCAGGTCATGAGGGCCTTGCAGGACAAAAGCAGGGTGTCCAAACCTCAGGGGGAAGGATGTTACACAGGGTAGGCACTTCAACAGAGAAATCATGCCCCTATTAGGTGACACTGTTTTGGGGAAGGGACCCAAAACACACCTTCTTCGCCAGATCTCATGGGATGAGGAGAGACAATTAGGGACAGGCAGTTCTACAAGTAACCTGGTGCTGTGCCATGAAGGATTTTATAGGGGATAAAACCCAGCTCCTTGAATTGCACCTGGAAGTGTATACAGAGCCTGTGCAGCTTGTGAAGCAGTGGTGCTATCTGGGCACACAGAAGTGCATTCATAACTATTCACACCACTGCATTCTTAACCAATTGCAGTTCTGGGTAGTTTTCAAGGGCAACCCTACATCGAGCATATTGCAGCAATCTAGACAGCAGATAACTAGGGCATGAGTGACTGTGAGTAGTGCCTCCCAATACAGGAATGGGTGCAATTGTGTCAGCTCCACTAGGTAGACCAAATCAAGAAGTCAACTCTACAGGAAGGCTAAAACTACTTTTATTGAGCTTAGCTATAACAATAGAATCTTGTCTGAATGTGCTGTGCCCCTCCCCCTTCTTATACTTCAGTGAATTAGGGAAGTGTCTGTCTGACCCATTTACAAACACTATCTGTCTGTTGTGGACTTAAGATATGTTTTATCCCTTGCCACTTCGGTAATGGACTCATCTATCTCTGTCGAGGTCAGCTTCCTTACTCTCAAAACTGTCACACAAGATGGATTTGTGCAAAGGTCTTCCTGGCCATGGGTGTCGTCTCTTCTAGCAGGAACAGAGGACCCCAATGTTGTATCCACTTCTGTTTGGGAAACTCATTCCAGACCAAAGGGATCCCCAACCACTCAGTCTTGCTAGTGTTAAGATAAAGCCTGTTTTTCCCCATCCAGGAATCACAGCCTCCAGGCACTGGGAAAGAACCTTGACAGCATAACTTGGTCAGCCTAAGGTGGAGATGTATATTGTATATCAGCATATTGATGATACCTGACCTCATAATGGTGGATGACCTCACTCAGCAGTTTTATGTAGATGTTAAATAAGAGCAGAGAGAGGTTAGATCCTGGGGACTTGGGTAATTGAATTAGATCTCTGCTCCCTACCAACACTAACTGGAAACAGCCATGGAAGAAGGAAGAGAACCAATGTAACATTGTACCTTCCATTCCCAAACTTTGAAGCTGGTCAGAAGGATACTGTCAGGGCTAGCCCAAGGAACTCCAAGAGACCATGTAAATTCAGTCCAGCAATGTTTATTAGCTACAACCTCTAGCAAAAATCTTCCCAGAC